TTAGGACAGTAAGAAAGGTACACTACTTATTACTGCAAGAGCAGCTGATGGGAAGGACCTCAGACAACTTCCATTTAAAAACAGGCTATAGGGACAAGTGCCATCAGTTTGAGGCTTGATTGAATAACATTAATTAAAAAATAAATCATACTATCAAAATACTACAACGAATGAAAATAAGCTTGAGATAATTGAAACTGTGGTTTAAATAAGTTCTAATTGGCTATTGAATAAAATTGAATCAAATTCAACCACCACATCAATCACATCACCAGGACCGCATTTTTCCACCTCAAAAACATTGCCCGTCTCCGCCCATCACTCTCCTCCTCTGCTGCTGAGACCCTGATTCATGCATTCATCACTTCACGACTCGACTACTGCAATAGCATCCTCTACGAGTCTACGGCATACCATCCAACCTCCTCAATAAACTCCAACATATCCAGAACTTTGCTGCCCGCCTCCTCACCCACACCCGCTCCCGAGACCACATCACTCCCGTCCTCCAGAACCTCCACTGGCTCCCCGTCCGTCAAATAATCAACTTCAAAGTCCTCCTGATTACTTACAAAGCCCTCAACAATCAGGCCCCCCCCTACCTCACAGACCTGCTGCACCACCACACCCCTTCCCGTTGCCTCCGCTCATCAGAAGCCAACCTCCTCTCCATCCCCACCTGCTGAGGGACTGGTCAGCTTTCTGTCCCCAGAGTCAGAACTAAACATGGAGAAGCAGCGTTCAGTTATTATGCTCCAAATATCTGGAACAAACTCCCAGAAACCTGCAGGTCCGCTGCAACTCTGACTACTTTTAAATCCAGGCTGAAGACTTTTCTTTTTGCCGCTGCTTTTAATTGAAACTGAGCCGTTGTGTTTCGTTTTTGGTTAATGAACATTTGGGGCTAGTAACCCCAGGGAATCAGAGTCTGGGGACTTTGTCCTGGCTGCTTTTCTCTGTGTGCTGCTCGGGACGTATGTGCCATACAAGCGTACACAGCTCATGTTCGGAGAAACCTTAAAGGCATCAGTAAAGTGGAACTTCTGTGTGAACTATTCACATCTGAAACTGCACTGTAACTTTTTATTCATGTATTTTTTTCTTTTAATGTTTCTTTTATTATCTTTTCTTTTTAATGACTGATTTCAAATGCCTTTTTCTGAATCTCTTTCATTTTTGTAAAGCACCCTGAATTGCCTTGTCTTTGAAAGGTTCTGTATAAATACACTTGCCTTGCCTTTATCCAACATTTTGTTTTTTAAGGAGATCTCACGCAATGTGTTATTTCCGATTACAGGAAACTCTCTTGTCATATTTAATCAAACATTATTTAAATTAACAAGAAATACACACATTTAATATAATTCAGGATAATTTTAAAGCATTTAACTTTCATGTTCTGCTACTTCATAGGTCTACTGCCCTACATTTAGGGGGAATTAATGAACATTTAATCCACTTTACTAATTTAATGATATAATGATTAATCAACAAAAAATTAATTATGATAAAAACAATTAATTAATAAAAACCAGTTCATAAATGAGCTGAAATTAGATGTATTTTCAACAGCTACTATATTAAAATGATTAACACATTAGTAGTATAGTATAATTAAATAGTGAAATACACATTATTCTGAAATGAAATCATTCTTCATAATGAGTATTTAACACAGAGTCAAATATACATATTCTAATGGCTGTACATCTACTTGCATGTTGTGTTCAAGTTCTTCACTTCTAACAAAGAAAGGGGAAGAACTGTAGGAATAAAATAACTTGTGTCATTATTTCTTCTCTTACAGGCATCTCTTCTCGCTCGGTGTTCGTACATCTAACATCTTCCCCAGGTATTCACTTCTCCTGATTGTTATCAGGGAAACCTGAATGAGTTGTTTTTCTACTTTATCAAACAGGAATACTTATACATTACATTCTGACTTTCAAAATGAAGATTTGGTCTTTAAAAAAACAAGAATTAGGAAATGGAATATAACAAGTAATTTATTAATCAACTTGTAATTCCCTCTTTAAATAATCCAAGTCCAGTTCACATTCAAAGGCTGGATTTTAATCTGTATATTTTGGTGCTATTTCATTTATTTGTTGATTAAATAAATAAAGAATGTTCACTATTAAAAACAAGTGATAGAAGAATATTCAATGAGAGGCCAAACACCTAAAAGGCTCATTGAGGGTCTCTTTAGGTACAAATATATATAAGCTCCTAACATTTCTCTCTGTCAGTAAACGCAGACCCAATCCTGGGAGGATAAGAGCAGCTTCTCCTGCATCGAGCTGTGAGTCCATGAAGAGTCTGAATACTTCTTCAATACATTTTGAAAATTGACTGCAAGATTTGTCTTTTTATTTTATTCTGTAGTTCTTTGACCATGGGTGTATTCAAGGAGAAGCTCGGGTCCTTTAAGTGTTGGTCTGAGCCACAAAAGAGGTGAGATGAAGATTTATTTATGTTCATGTCAGATCCAGCTGTTTGACTGACTTACTGGGTTCATTCTCTGGAATGCCATTTAAGCCAAAATTAAATAAATAAATAAATACATAAATAAATAAATATATATATATAAAAATGCCTATGAAATAAATTCTGAAATAAATAAATGAGGCAATAAATATGTATACATGTACATTTAAATACACATTTATTTATTTCAAGAGACTTTTATTTCATAATTACACATTTATTTATTTCAAGAGACTCGTATTTCATAATGACATTTATTTATTTCAAGAGACTCGTATTTCATGAGACATTTCCATTCCTTATATGCAAATGAACGGGGCGTGGTTAGCTCACAGGTCCAGAGACCCAGACCAAAGCAACAGCACCACACTGACTACTCGAGAAGAGGAAGAAAATGGAGGAGAAGGACTATAAGGCAAACTACTAAATTCTCAGAGTCAGACACATGGTCAGACATCGCATGTAATCTGATACTCTAAATTTCACCCGCCAGAAATGTTCGCTTCTTCTTCTTCGGTGTAAATTGTCCGTTGGCAAACCAGTTGACTTCTTCTTCTCTCGGTTTTTTGGCAGATTGCAAACAACTTTAAGGTGCATACCGCCACCTACTGAGTGGTGGGCCGTCAGGGCCAGCAAGGCCTTCTCTGCTGGCCTAAACATCATCAGAATATACATTTAATTTTGATATATTTTTTCCACAAATATGTATTAAATTATTCCCCATAGTCTATTCTTTTCATTTCATAGCTTTCCTCTTGGTTGCGCTGCTTCCAGCCTCAGAACAAGATTTGGAGGGCTGGCCTTTATGTTAGAGCTTTTATCCAATCATATTTCAGCCATAATGTGTTGCCAGGGTCCAAGAAATCTGCCCTTAGGCCTTCAGAATCAACAGTGCGGGCGCCTGTAGCTTAAAGTGAACGGAAACAAAACTGTGGCGTTAACCAATCAGATTTTGAGTTGGCGACAACGGGCCAGCTAGCAGGCGTACGATGACGTCAGCACGTGCACGTCTTTTGATTGGATACGCACTATTGAGAGGCAGAGCTATGTAGAGCTAGCAAACTGAACTTGAATTTGAACGAGCTAATTTGTGTAGATTTCTACAAGCTGTTTTTTTTAAACCCACAATGGCTGAAGGAGAAGAGATCGATTTGGTCGCAGATATAATTACAACGCCATTTTCAAGACGAACTTTTCAAGAAAAGCTAGACATTGTGAGAAGAGAACGGCCAACCCCGACGCTAGCGAGCCTATCACAGCGGGGGAAAGGGTTTGTCCGCCACTTTCAAATCACTAACTACGAGCGGTACCCCTGGCTCACAGCCTCCGAGAGGCACTGCAAATTGTACTGCTGGGAATGCCTGCTATTTGCAAATGATCGATTTGGTGTTTGGAGCCACACTGGATTTGCAAACTTGAGTTGTCTAACCAAGGCAGCAACGAGACACCAAAGCACGGCTGGGCACTTACAAGCAATGGTGCTTTTGAAAACCTTTGGGGACACCCGAGTGGATCTACAGCTCAACGAACAAGTGCGCCGGGAAACGGAGCTCCACAACGAAAGGGTGAACAAAAATAGGGAAATATTGAAAAGGCTGATTGATTGTGTCCTGTTTTTGGGTAAACAGGAACTTTCATTTAGGGGACATGATGAAAGCGCCGAGTCCAGAAACAGAGGAAACTACGTGGAGCTTCTTTCTTTGCTTGCTGAGAACAACACAGACTTGCATTACCACCTGTCCACAGACAATAATTCAGGTAGGACTGTGTCGGACATCACTGAAGGCCTAGGTGTGAAATGCACGGCCCGCCACCTACTGTACATGAGTGTGAATCATCATATCATTCCATCTCTTAACTCATGGACGTATCTATGATCTAATCCAAAAATAAAAAACATAATAAATAAAACAAAACAACAATCTATGATCTTTCCTGTTAGATAATTGTACCTACCCCAGTTTCACTAAAGGTAAACAGTGCCTTTCTGGTAGCTCTTTCTCCCTCTCCTTTTGTTCCCAAAATACCAACCACACTCCATTCCCTCTCTGCCTCTAAAACGTTATCCTTTAGTTTTTCTCTTTCAGCTTTATAGATGTTCCACATTTTCTTTTACTCCACAGTTCCTACACTTGTCACTTACTTTCCCCCATGACATGCAGCGTACCATTCAATGCTGTGTGATTCATTCTGAGTCGAGCTATCATCATTTCCTCCCTTCTGTTTCTGTCTTTATAAATGCTGGTCTGCTGGCATACCAGCAGACCAGCATTTATCCATCACCAGCTTATGTTAGTATTAAATATACAATGTATTCTGGTAACTATCAAAATAAAGACATTGTATAGTGTTCATAAAAGTATTTTTATTTAATAAATTATACTTAATACAATAATATTACAAAAAAAACCTACATCTAAATAAATATATCATCTAAAAAAAGATGCATTTGATTTAAAAATAACAAATATAATTCAAAATGTAAACAAAGAAATTATAAACTTTTTTTCTTTTTAATATCCATTATCTTCTCTGTTATGTGTCTTCCGATCTTTGCCAATCTGGCCAGCATTTCTTGGTCCTCCACGTCTTTCTCGTGCAGCCACTGCTTGAAGCAAACTGAAAATAAGAAACAACAATGTTTTAACAAATCGTATTAAATAATGTGATGATAGAACTGCAAACAGAATAGCTGAAACTTTAACAAACTAAATAACTCAGTTCCCTCTAATCATTAACCCATGTTTGTATCATTGTGTTAACTCCGTGTGTTGCTGCTAGCATACATAACACCTGACGTGGAAACGTTACTCGTGGATGGAGCTACAGAGCTGCTAGAAAGACAGTCGAACCCGGTGCATTCCTCCGTCTGGATGTGGAGCACTTTTGATAAATGTTTAGACAAATAGCTCGTGTTACCGCCCTCACATGCTAAATTCTTATTGCACTTTAGGTAACGAGCATTTTCCACCTCAAGACCAAGCCCCCAGGAAGTGTGCCGGACTCTGAGGAAAATATTCGTTGTGTCCAAACGGCGGTACTACAATTTCTTTATCAGTCTGTGACGTCGACCGGCCCAGAAATACTTTTCCCATTGACTAACATTGGGAAAGAGACGTCTGTAAATCGGTGGATAATTTTTTTAAACTAAATAAACTACCCAGTATGAACTATTGTATAGCCCTAGAATCATTAAGTCCTTAAAGTTGTAAAATGCACTAAAAGCCGAATCTAGATTTATTCTCTCTCCATTCTTTCTAGCGAGTCGAGAGTGGGAGCTCGGGGGGCGGGGCTTAAGGGGCACATGCTCTGTGAGCTACATACGGGCACTTCTGCTCTGACAGCCAGGCATGATGGGTAATCTGTGACGTTTTGCTCTCTCAAAAGTTGGGCCATTTTGTCCTCATGCGCCAATGAGCAGCTCTCATAGGAAAGAACGAGACCCCGCCTCCGACGTTGTATCCAGTTTTTATTATACATCCATGCTCAAGACGGGTAACATAACTACCCTCGGGGCACTTGTTCTCTCCGCCATGTGTTTGTGCGCGCGTGCGTGCGTGTGTGTGTGTGTGTGCGTGTGTGTGTGTGTGTTGCATACATGTAGCAGGTTCTGTGTGTAAACTGCCCCACCCCCTCGCACACCGTCAGGGGAGAGAGATCTCTCGTCTGGATTGGAAAGATCGAAGATAAATCAGAGACGCACTTTGTGGTCTTATTGCATATTAGAAACGGAGTTGGCGACTGTAAGACTGCGATATAATGTTTATGTAGATATAATACATATGACATCTATTATTGAAATGTCTCCAGTACCGATAAAAAGATCGATAACGTTGGACGTTAACGGTATCACGGTCTTTAATATTTCAGCCCCAGGGCCACGTTAATACTGGGGCTCGGTACCCATCAATATTACATTTCAAATAACCAATGTTGGAGATTTAAAGGGATAACTGGTCCGCTTTTCAAATCTCCGCGCGTTCCTATGAAGCTGGTTATAATACAGGAAGGAATCCATATCTACAAAGTAACCGTTAACAATAATCTACTTTAATGGCAATATGACAATGCAATACAATCATTACAATACAACATGATATATTACAGTTATATTGCAATGCTTAAGGAGTAATGCCGGCTTACTCCTGCTCTAGTCCGCATACTGCAGAGCTACTTTCACCCGAGGGCAGCATGTGAAGAAGAGGCCGAACGCCAGGGATCCACCGGATATATACCAGAGTAAGAAGGAGGGGTTTGGTGTTAGGTCAGCTGGTCATCTTTTCAGGTCATCTCATTGGGAGACGCAACGCAGCAGGAAACGCAGCAGGAAACCAAACAGGCTCACTTTCCAACAAAAGGTCTCAAGGCCTGCATACCTACACCTCCCCCACAGAGCAATAAAACCCTGTTTACTCCAACCAGCCCAGAATGTTTATAGCCATTTGTAGTCCTTACATTTATGAAAGGATAAAACAGAGAAATCAATATAAAACACAAACACAGGTATTGTTTGAACAGTATTCACTTAACTGCTACTGTTGATAACCACCAGAGAAACCCAAGGGACCTCTCTTAACATCACAAACACTGCAGCTAGATCTAAGTTGAATGCAAATCAGGACATGCTCTCACCTTCCCCCATCTTCCTTTGTCCTCAAAAACACATGTCAACAGGCCCCAAATGCAGCTCACAGTTTTACCCAAATTATTCTCATTTTAAGCTTATCCATAGTTTGCTAACATGAATAAATACAAATATAACTCTACACCAAGTACTTGGTTACCAACACAAAGCGCAAGTGGCTAGTGCTGCTAAGAACATACCTGGTGATGGTGATGATGGTGGCTCTTCGCTGCAGGATCTGGTCGATGTCCTCCTTGCAGAAGCGGTTGCCTTCGTCGTTCTCGTCCATTATGGCGGCGTAGGCTCCTTTCCTCAGCAGGTCCTCGATCTCCTTCTTGGAGAATTGCTGGACCGGCTAAAGGCGACGCAGAGAGACATTTACACAAGTGGATTTAGAAAACTCTTTTTGAAAATAAACCAAGCGTACTGCAACAGCGACTGACCCAAAAATGACTTGGCATCTAGAAATATGACAGATTTTCTTTTTCTCACCCCGTTGTTGTTGCCACTCATGCTCTGCAGGACGGGACGGTCCAGCCCGAGCTTCAGACTAGCTTTATCCAGCATTTCCCTCTCATAGTTTCTAGTGATCAGACGGTACACCTCCACCGCCTTAGACTGGCCAAAAGAGCATCATGTGCAGCTGCTGTTCAACGTTTTTAAGCATTAAATGGGAAAATAATATACACTTAAAGAACCGAGGGAATAAACGGAAAGACTGTTGTTGTTGTAGCCCTATTGAACTATCTTTAGGACAGACAGAGCAGATATATATATATATATATATATATTGTACCTGCAGGTCATTTTGAGAGTAACTTCCAGTCAGAGTGGAATATCACACAGGTGTCTGCAGCAGTGAGGTTCACAAGCTCTTGATCAGGTGTTTGATGTGGGCTGGCATGATCCTTTCTGCAGCGATGAATAAAGAAAACAAAGAAGACATTATTCATAATAGTAACAACAATAATATTAGTATAACTATTTATATAGCACTTACACAATAATTGCAAAGTGATTCTCACAACAAAAATAAAGAACAAAACAATATCAACAATAAAAAAACTAATGATTATAGGAATGTTAAGATACAAAGAAATGATAAACATTCTGAGAGGCCGACTACAAAAGGCAGCCTCAATGGCTCTTGATGACATCAATGAGCAGTCCCAACACATGCTGCTGTATCAAAAGAAATAGGTCCAGATTTCTTCTATTTAGTGTTGGATGATTTGTTGTATTGATTGCTGATGGATGTTAAGATATGTTTTACAATTATAACAAAAAGATTATTGTAATTGGAATCAAAAAGTTTACAAATCGTAGTTTTAATAAAATGACTAGCAATATAGGATTTATTCAACAGCGGTAAAGCATTAAGTTACTAAATTAACGTACACTGAACTGTAAAACTTACCACTATTTAGGAAAGGACCTGATCAGAAGGATTGACTAGTAAGACAGCAAAGAGGTGGAGGAGGTCTCTGTCATGTACAACCATTGGTAGATGTTACACCTGAAAGAAAGATAAGGAAATAAGAGAAGACAGGAGGACAAGCATCCTCTTAAGTAAAAGACCAAATCATGTCAAGCTTTACATCTTTCAGTCTTTACAATGCACTGTTGGAAATTACATTGCAAGGCTAAATTCAAACTCAATACCATAAATAACTGGGTACCAAAGTGCTCTACCTGATAGGACACGTTCCACACGGAGCAGCAACCAACCGGCTGGGCCGTATGCTGCATATCATCTCCTCCCTCTCCACTGTTTCCAGTAGATCTCTGCTGCCTGTCCAATAAAACTGAAATGCCCCAAAACAATCATATTTAAAAAGTTAAAAACAATAACTTGCTTTTGGCATTCAAATGTATTAGAATCTCACCTTTTTTCTGGATGTCAGGTTGTTCCTGGAGTTCAAATGCAAAACCTGAACGATGACAAGAGCGAGACTTACATTTGACAAGATAAGTAATACCAGAGCAGTGTTTAGGACATGCAGAGACCTGGGGCCTGTACTACGAAGCTGGTTCAACCTAACCTGGATATGTTTGAGTTAGCCGGTTGGCCTAATCCAAAACATACGCGCTCTCGCTAAACGGTCCTACGACGCGGGTTATCAAGTGGATCGCTCAAGCCAGCCGTGTCCTATCTAGTTAGGTGTTCACATGAAAGGGGTGGTATTTGGAGCATTCGACCAATCACAGACATGGCGAAGCGTACTGACAGCGCAGCGCGTCATACTTCCTGAATGAAAAGTAAACTATAATATTAGACATATGAAGAAGTTAAACTTTAAACATCCATGACTTAAACACTTGATCCAGGATCAAAGACACAGAGCTGCACCTGCAAGGTGAATACAGCTGGTAACAGAAGAAGTGTTTGAATGCATACATTAACAGGTTTATGATATCACTGCCCCGTCTAAAACACGATCTGACTTTCATTACATTTGACTCGAGTGTTTCGTCAACTTAATGTGTTGCTTAAAATAATACTTCTGCATCCAGTATGTGACACTGTGAGTGTTGCACGGCCAGATACGGCTCAGCTGACTCAGATCAGGAAATATATGATACATTATGAAGTGATATGCCGCGGACTGTACTGTTACTCTGATCCGGTTACTTATGTTGTGTCAGATATTTAAGTAAGCTTTCTTAACGCTAATGTTATAATAGTCAGATTGCTCTGAAAATGGAGGTGATATTCTATTCATGTTCACGTTCACACAGTCGGTGATTTTTGCCGGCCGTCTTTCCTGCGACGGCAGCTTTTCTGTATTTCCTTTCTCTTGTAATATGACTTGATCGCTTTAAACTCCGCACACTGAGCTCTGATTGGTCAGCAGGCAATGCTTTCACTGAGTTGAGCTCTTAGCCTGCAACCTAACCTGGGGGGTATCCTACGAAGCAGGATTTTCGTTTAGCAAGATAACTTCTGGGATTTCCGGTACTATGAAGCTGGTTAACTTTTTAGCGGGCTAGATCTCCATGGTGACTTATCCTGGAACCTACCCTGCTCCGAAGCAGGGTAGGTTCCAGGATAAGAGATCAACTCAGCGAAAGCACCACACCTGCTGACCAATCAGAGCTCAGTGTGCGGAGGAAATACAGTTTTTAACTGCCGTTGCAGGAAAGACAGCCGGCCAAAATCACCGACTGTGTGAACGTGAAAATGAATAGAACATCACCTCCCATGTTCAGAGCAATCTGACTATTATACTATTATGTTAAGAAAGCTTAATTAAATATCTGCCACAACATAAGTAACCGGATCAAAGTAACATTACGTAGCCTACAGTCCACGGCACTCACTGTGAGTGCAGACGTCGATGTGTCCCATTATCATTCATATCACATCACATCATAATGTATCATATCTTTAGAACACATCATAGCACAGAGACAGCTCTGGTTAAAGTCACAAATGCCATTCTAATAGCCTCTGACAAGGGACGTGTCTCTATTCTTGTTTTGCTCGATCTCAGTGCTGCATTTGATACTATCGACCATGATATCTTATTGCAAAGACTAGAGCACTTAGTTGGCATACAGGGAACTGCTTTAGACTGGTTTAGGTCCTATCTATCTGAATGCTCTCAGTTTGTACGTGTCAATGATGAATCTTCCACGCAAACCAAAGTTAGCCATGGAGTGCCACAGGGCTCAGTGCTCGGACCTATTTTGTTCACATTATATATGCTTCCGTTAGGCAATATTATAAGGAATAATTCTGTAAACTTTCATTGTTATGCGGATGATACTCAACTATATTTATCAATCAAGCCTGATGAAATTAATCATCTAAATAAAATTCAAGACTGCCTTAAGGACTTAAAAACGTGGATGACCTTAAACTTTTTGATGTTAAACACTACCAAAACTGAAGTTATTGTACTTGGCCCGAAGAATCTACGAAACAAATTATCTAAGGATATACTAACTATGGATGGCATTAATTTGGCCTCCAGTGAGACTGTAAGGAATCTTGGTGTTATATTTGATCAGGATTTATCCTTTAACCGCCCACATAAAATCAATTTCAAGGACCGCCTACTTCCATCTACGTAACATTGCAAAAATCAGGCATATCTTGCCTCAAAACGATGCAGAGAAACTAGTCCATGCATTTGTTACTTCAAGGCTGGATTATTGTAACTCTTTATTATCAGGGTGTACCAAGAAGTCAGTCAAGTCGCTTCAGCTGATTCAAAATGCTGCGGCTCGTGTACTAACCAGAGTTAGGAAAAGGGACCACATTACTCCTGTTCTGGCTGCCTTACACTGGCTCCCTATAAAACACAGGATAGAATTTAAAATTCTTCTTCTCGCCTACAAAGCCCTTAATGGGCAGGCGCCATCTTACCTTAAAGAACTCATTATACCCTACTGTCCTACTAGGGCATTGCGTTCCAAGAATGCAGGGTTGTTGGTTGTTCCTAGAGTCTCTAAAAGTACAATGGGAGCCAGAGCCTTTTCTTATCAAGCTCCACATTTGTGGAATCAGCTTCCAGTTTGTGTTCGGGCGGCAGACACCCTATCCGTTTTTAAGAGTGCGCTTAAGACCTTCCTTTTTGATAAAGCTTATAGTTAGGGCTGATTAGATTCAGCCCCTAGTTTTGCTGATATAGGCTTAGTTTGTCGGGGGACATCTTACTTCTTCCTTCTCTCTGTCTATACCTGTGTACTCTCATGTTCCGATTAACCCAGCTTCCCCAAATGTCTTTCTTTTTGGTGTCTATATACGCCGGGATCCGGAGTCATGGATGATCCTGCGGTCCTGTGTCCTGGATCGCGAGCCCTGGATCTTGAGTCGTGGCTGTGGTCCTGGATCATAGGTCCTGGATGGATATCCTCGTGGATTCATCTTCCTATTATACACCAGGGCATGACATTAAGGATTTTGGGAGATGGCCCTGTGGGCCATCTAAGCTAATTTACAGATGGCCCTGAGTCCAATAGAGATGGCCCTGAAAAATGCGCACGGACGAAATGACACACGAAAGGTTTGGGGGACCTGCAGGTCTTAGATGCTGTCTGGTGCATTCTCTAGAATTATAAGATGAACCACCACAATATTATATTGTTCAATTTTATTCTTAATTTCACTTCTTCTTGTTTGTGTTTGCTGATTCAACGACTAATAGTCTTTCAAGAAAGTGTCAATGTCTGACTCGTCTATGTCTGACTCATCTGAGTCGTCAAGAGCTTCAGCCAAGCGCTTCTCGCCAGCAGCCACATTCTCTGCCTCAAGTCCGAGCTCGTCAGATATGGCCTCCTGGCGCACATTCTCCTCCTGCTCGGCTTCCTGATCCATAAGAACCAGGTCTTCATAGAGGTCGTCCCGTATCTCCTGCTCCTGCTCCTTCTGCCACGGGTTGAAGCCAGGGCGACGAGCCCTATTTCCTGAGGTCCACCACTTCTCCACGGCTCCGGCAGCATCAAAGTTGTCCATTGAGGGGCCCTCAATGGAGGAAAACATCAGGCGGCTGAGCTGCTCAGTACCCAGACAGGAACGCCAGTAGTTCTTCACCCTCTTCATGCAGCTGAACCCCCGCTCACACACTGCAGTGTTGACTGCCAGAACAAGGTATATTTCAAACAGTATTGACAGCCCCTTATACTGTTTGCATCTCTCAGTGTCACACAGGATGCCAGAGAAGATCTGTGGCATTCGAAGTGTGCGGGCTGCTGCATAACTCTTGTAGAGGATGAACTCAGACTTCAGCATTTTAGTTGTAACACTGTGCTCGTCCATCAGGGGCTGATAATGCTCACAGATATCAGCAAAGTCTTGTTTGCCATAGGCAGCCAGCTCCTGTCTGTCAGAGGGCCACTGACTGGGGTTGAAGATGGAAAATTTTGAAGGGACACTCCCTTTCTGGAGATCTTGGAATCTTTTCTCCAGGTGCTTGATGAGCACATCTGCAAACACATACACAATGTCAAATTATAATCCCTGTCTCTGGACCACCATAAAAAATCATTTATATCATAACAAATGTGAAATTATATTCCTGTCTTTGGACCACCATAAAAAAATTATCTATTAAAACATGTTATGCCCATATTTACTTATGAAGAAAATATTTACTTTTGAAGAAAAAATATTGAATATTTACTTTGAAGAAAATATTATTGGGCACATACCTATGACTTTCTTCCGGAGAAAGAGAATCTGCCCTTCGTTGACATACTTGAGTTTAGTCCCTCGGAAGAGGCCGGTTTTTGAGACTGCATCAATGACCTCCTGCATCCCCTCAGTTGGTTGGAACTGCAGGTCCACTAACTTCAGTGAGCATGTCTCCAGGGCTTCCACAGCATCACATACAGTCAGGCTGTCCTTCTGGAAGTTCAGTGACAACTCAGAGAGGGCTTCAAAAGTGTCACGCATGAAATAACTGAAAAGTACATTGTCATAGTCCATGAGGAAGGTGAGGATCCTGTACGCCCTTCCTCGCACCTTTGGGCTTGGCTTCGGTCTTCTCTCAGTGCTTATGAGATCCTGGAAGTAGGTCACGAATACCGCGTAGCTTTCGCACACAATCTGCAATAAAGATAGCAATTTTATATTTTCTATCCTGATGAGATTTAATTATCTATTAAATATTTGTTTAGACCTACCTTGTTGGCTTTGTGTATGTAAGGGAGAAATCTCGCCCCAGCAAGGTTGGTTGGCTTCAGCACTTTCTCCTCCAAGGCCTCCGCTACCAAACGCAGCTCATGTAAGGCTTTTGGGCTGAACTTATAGTGCTTGTAAAGCCACTTAAGGTTCTGATGAAGTGCCTTGAGCTTGTCAAGCTCCTTGAGGCTGTCAACGAGCCCCCTCTCAGCACGGTGGGCCACACAGTGAAGGGCAATGAGATATGCGATATCCCGTTTGAGGAGGGCCTGGACACCATTGTCTTTCCCGAAGTTAACAGCAGCCCCATCTGCCCCGAACCCCACCAACCTCTTCTTCCAGTCGTCCACTCTACCCCGTGCAAATGCTGTTTTTTTTATTTAAAATAGCACATTTATTAAATGTCATCAGCAAACAATTATAAATTTTTTAAATAGATAATCACATGTCATCAGAAAAGAATATCTTACCTCCCATAATGAGTGCATATAAGCCTTTAGCATTTGCTCGCTTGACGTGTTCAATGCTAAAAAACACATTTTTTGGCCTCTTGGTGGAGTCTAGGTACCGTACATACACGATTTCTTGTTCCAGGATCGCCTTGTCCGTTGCCCCATCTATCATGACTGAGAAGAATCGGGCACTCTTCACCTCAGCCAGAATAGGGTCATAAATGAACTGGTAGATGTCCACAAAAAATCTAAAAGTAAAAATATCAATTAATTTAATACATTTGCATGTGGCAGTTGTAACATTTTAAGGTGAAATAAATGCAAGAAGTACCGGTACCAGTAATTCTAAAAATTTGTTGTGAAGAAAAGATATTTACTTTTGAAGAAAATATTTACCGTGCGCAGGCTTTGTCGTGGTGGTAACACAGGGGCATCTTGGCACCGGTCCTCCTGTTCAGGTCCACCAAGACAGGAAAATCTGTAAAGGGCCTCTCACTCTTGACCACAAAGTAGGCCACATGGAAAAGGTTGCTCATGCCAGCACGAAGTTCATCCTGCATCTTAGAGAGGCCACGCAGTATAGGGGCCACCACAGAATTCTCACCATCAATCTTTGCTTGGGAAGCTGCAGCACACAGCTCATGCTTCTTGCTTGGATCATGACAATCCAGTAATGTTTTGCGGAATGTACTGTTGCCCTTGTACAGACTGCATGTCCTGAAATTAGGGAAACATTTAAATAAGCAATGTGATTTTTTTGGGGTTTGGGGCAACATTTTTTCTAAGTCGAGACATGGACAAAAATTGGCCAGAACTCCCCCTGTACATAGTGGAATTTGGGGCCAGAATATAGGATTTTTTCTAAGTCAAGTACATATACAAAATTGCATAATTATATAATAATAAGTTCATACATACTTATCACTGATGGAAGGGAAATGTCTGCAAGGCTCACAGAACATTTCATTCTTCTCTTTGTCAAATCTCAGCCATGGAAACTGGTCCAGCCAAGCTGGGATGAATGCCCTTGCCCTCTCCTTCCCCTCATAGTCTCTGGCCTTCTGAATTCTCTCTTCTTCTGACTGGGATTCTCTTTTTGATTCTCTTTTTTGGGGGGGGGGCTGCAGCTCAGTCTTTCTCTTCTTCTTTCCAGGTTGTTCACCTTGCTTTGGTGGACTAAGAAACATTGTAATACACTCTCACTTTAAATTATTTGATCATTATGTATTCAGCATCAGAATCCGTAACAAACTGAAATTCCCGCGAAAATGTGGTTGCATTCGATTCATTGTCCGGGTAGTATTCAGTTGCGCCACTTATGTGACAGACAAGAATAGTCAACTCTAATGTCTAACACTTAATGTGGAGAAAGAGATGTCCTGTATGGGTTGATTGTGCGTTGATCTGTTGGTAATGCCTCGGGGTTCCGGTGGGCATGTAAACAAATGCATAATGCTGCGCTATACTTTGTGGCCTCACCCAGTTGCATAGCGACACTCATTGTTTAGGTGTCTTTTAATAAGCAGGTAGTCCTATCATTAGCTAGAACTAGCTGGATCTGATCGATATGGACATAAACGTGAGTGAAGTCTAATCTGACGGGAGAGAGAGATCAGCTGAGCAGGCTGACGAGTGGACACGCAGCTCTGCATGATCACATGCAGCGCTGAGCGGACACAACACACACTTCAGGTTAGAATATCACACGTAGCTATTTTAATTACCTCTCAAACTACCTAAACTAGTTATAGTAGATGTGTTTTAGTTTTACTGTCGGGTCACTCATTACTGGATCCACGAGCTGCATGATACTGACATAATAGATTGCCCGATCGGGCAACCAGCAGGTGAGGCTTCATTGCCCGAGCTAAATGCTAGATGGCCCCGGGCCATCCTTAATGTCGAGCCCTGTACACACATGCATTTCCAAACATTTGGACTACCTATGTTGCAAATGTATTATCTTTTCAATTTACACACGGCATCTATTGCACGTCTGTCCGTCCTGGGAGAGGGATCCCTCCTCTGTTGCTCTCCCTGAGGTTTCTCCCATTTTTCCCTTTAAACTGTGGGTTTTCTTCGGAAGTTTTTCCTTGTACGATGTGAGGGTCTAAGGACAGAGGGTGTCGTATTGTCATACTGATATTTTGTACAAACTGTAAAGTCCACTGAGACAAATGTAACATTTGTGATATTGGGCTATATAAATAAACATTGATTGATTGATTGATCTTTCCTTATCTGAGTCAGCTGAGCCGTATCTGGCCGTGCAAGCTTACAGTGTCACATACTGTATGCAGAAGTATTATTTTAAGCAACACATTAAGTTGACGAAACTCTCGAGTCAAATGTAATTAAAGTCAGGTCCACTCGTGTCTTGGACGCATTCAAACACTTTTTCTTTTGCCAGCTGTATTCACCTTGCAGGTGCAGCTCTGTGGCTTTGATCCTGGATAAAGTGTTTAAGTCATTTATTTTTAAAGACTTCTTCATAGGCTATTTGACTAATATTATAGTTTCATTTAACTTTTCATTCAGGAAGTATGACGCTGCGCTGTCAGTATGCTTCTCCATGTCTGTGATTGGTCGAATGCTCCAGATACCACCCCTTTCATGTGAACGCGCACCTAACTAGATAGGACACGGCTGGCTTGAGCGAACGAGTTGATAGACAGCGTTGTAGGACAGTTTAGCGAGAGCGGCTGGCTTCGTTTTGGATTAGGCCAACCGGATAACTCAAAACATATCCAGGATATGTTGAACTAGATTCGTAGTATACCCCCCTGGTCCCGACCAGGTTAGCCGCTAAGCATAAGTTACCATGGAGATCTAGCCTGCTAAAAAGAGAACCAGCTTCGTAGGACCGGAAAGCCGGAGTTTTCTCTGAATTTAGCCGGCTAAGCGAAAATCCTGCTTCGTAGTATACCCCCCCCCCAGATCAAATCCCCTGACAGACTCACACACTTTGGTGATATCCTCATCTGATAATGATGTTTCATTTTTAGCAGCAAAGTAACATTACTCAAGGTATATGTTGGACCCAACTCATGTACAGTATGTTTTGCATCTCCTCAACAATGGTAACAAACTGTCCCTACAGTTTCAGGTAGATTAACAAAGAAAAGTTTGCAATGAAGCACAAAACCCCTCTTTGTATTAAGCGAGCTTCCACAAAAAGTACAGCTTAACATGCTAACCTGGTGGAGTTAAGCTAACGTTAGCTAACTTCATGTCCAACACAAAACCTCTAACGTGCATTACATTGACGATTTTAAACACAACTTAACTCTCTCAACTTGTAAAATAACGTTAATTTAACATACCCTTAAATAACTACATCACGTTTTTCAGGGGCAACACAAACTGCAGAAAACGTTAGCTGCTAACTGTTGTTAGCTAAGACAGCTAGCTCGTAACAATAGCCTCCTAGCAAATTTAAGGTTACGTTAACATTAACTTAACGTTGTAAGAAAGCAAAACGAACCTTCGAGAAATCTTTTACTCTCAGACTGGGTGTAATTGCGTAGCGTTGCTTACCTCCAGAAGGACTTTTAGCTGTTTCCCAGTAGAGACTAGAGAGAGCTGTCAGAGCGGTTGCTCTCAGAAGAGCAGCATTGGGTGGACCAGAGAAGAACCAGTTAAGCACCAGAAAAGCACAAGAATGGTTCTTGAACCGGTTTGGTTTATTGGCAGTTTGCAAACCACTTAAGAGTAATGGAGTGTGAAACAAAAGCTATTGAGTCAGTGTTGTGGTGCTGTTGCTTTGGTCTGGATCTGTGAGCTAACCACGCCCCGTCCATTTGTCTCATCATGAAATACAAGTCACATGAAATAAATAAATATGTCATTATGAAATACAAGTCTCTTGAAATAAATAAATGTGTCATTATGAAATACAAGTCTCTTGAAATAAATAAATGTCATTATGAAATAAAAATCCCATGAAATAAATAAATTTAAATTTTACATGTATAAATATTTATTGCCTCATTTATTTATTTCAGAATTTATTTCATAGGCATATTTATATGTATTTATTTAATTATTTATGTATTTATTTATTTAATTTTGGCTGAAATGGCATTCCATATCATTCTGGACTCTCAAAAGTTTTGTTCAAAGAGATTAGTTAGTTACATTTTTTGACACAAATGAAAAAGGTGAAACACAGTGCTGTGCTATCACCTTCACTAAAAAACAACATGGTAATAAAAAAAGAAGACTGCCGTAACTCCATTCACGGCAAAGTGCTGTTAGTTTCAACATCACATCAATATTCAACATTGAAACTAGCTGAACAAACCTTATCATGAAGGGAATGCCTTTGTTCTAGAGCAGTGGTTCTCAAACTTTTAAAGACCAAAGATTTGGTCTTTTGAAAAACAAGAATTAGGAAATGGAATATATCAAGTAATTTATTAATCAACTTGTAATTCCCTCTTTAAATAATCCAAGTCCAGTTCACATTCAAAGGCTGGATTTTAATATGTATATTTTGGTGCTATTTCATTGATTTAGATGTTTTATTAATAGCACATAAAGGAATAATGTTCACAATTAAAAACAAGTAATAGAAGAATATGCAATGAGAGGCCAAAGACTTAAAAGGCTCATTGAGGGTCTCTTTAGGTACAAATATATAAGCTCCTAACATTTCTCTCTGTCCGTCCACGCAGACCTAATCGTGAGAAGATAAGAGCAGCTTCTCTTGCATCGAGCTATGGGTCCACGATGAGTGACGGCTCCATGGATTCCCCTCCTTCTTTCAAACGGTAGGATGCAGTTTCTGAACCTTTCCAGCTTTCATTTCCTTCAGAGTATAACAGTTTTATTTAACACTAACTTATCTGCAGTGCTGATAACAATGTGTGCCTCGTCCATATATCTAACTTCAATGTGATGCACATTTCCCTTTAGATGATACTTATCAGACTTTAAAGCATTAAGACGTTTCTCAACCCGTTCTTTCTCGATACCTTAACTGAGTGTTCCTCTGAACAGCAGGGGAATATGTCCATCATGTAGATCATGCTTGTTCACGTTAGAAATGATGTTAGCCGTGTCCATCTACCTCTGTCTTTCAAACGGCATGATTTACCTTAAAGGTAGGTCAGCCATTTTCTATAGATGATGGAGATCAGACACATTTAGACCAGGTTTCACTCCTCCTCCTCCTCCTCCTCCTCCTCCTCCTCCTCCTCCTCCTCCTCCTCCTCCTCCTCCTCCTCCCTCCTCCTCCTCCTCCTCCTCCTCCTCCTCCTCCTCCTCCTCCTCCTCCTCCTCCATAAATTCATAAATAACTAAAGAATCATGTAATGTAACTTCTTCTTTAATCTCTCAGCCCCTCCACAGTACTCCAAAGAGCACCAATGCTGGACGTGTTCATTTTGTCAGCTATTTTTCATTTAGTCTTAGTCCTGTGTCAAATGTCCTCGTTAGTTTTAGTCATATAGTCACCTTCATCCTGTTTCTATTTAGCCAAGTTTTAATCGACTAAAAGTCTGAGCATTTACTTTTCCTGCATTGTTGATTTTTATCTATTTGCCTAGTCCTTGTTTTTTATATAAATGTAATGAGATTTTTCTTTAGATTATGGAAATCTATAGAATACAAATAAACATGTAGTGATAGTATGAATAAAAAACAAAAATGACACGAGTTAAACTCTGAACTTTAACAGGTGAAACTACATTAAGTATATAGAGTACATGCTTAGATTTTGTTCGTGGGAAAATTGGACATGCTGATGAAAGCAGAGTGAAGTCAACACACTGGGATTCAAAATGAAGATTTGTTCTTTAAAAAAACAAGAATTAGGAAATGGAATATAACAAGTAATTTATTAATCAACTTGTAATTCTCTCTTTAAATAATCCAAGTCCAGTTCACATTCAAAGGCTGGATTTTAATCTGAATATTTTGGTGCTATTTCATTGATTTGTTTGTGTAAATCAATGTAATAGGTCATAAGTAATAGCAGAATATGCAATGAGAGGCCAAACACCTAAAAGGCTCATTGAGGGTCTCTTTAAGTACAAATATATAATCTCCTAAACATTTCTCCCTGTCAGTGAACGCAGCGAGGGCGTCATTCCTGAGGAGGAAGAAGCAGTTTCTCCTGCACTGAGCGGTGAGTCCAAGATGAGTGACCGCTCCAAGGATTAACCTACAGCTTTCCAACGGTAAGAGTCAATGTCTCTGTAGGTCAACAGAACCTTTTGAGCCAGAACTGTCTTCAGAGTGTAACTATCCTCGTCCTTATTCTTTATTTAAATGTGATGCTCCTTTATCTTTAGATGATCCATATCAGACACTATTAGTCCGGGTTTTCTTCCCATCCTTTACCTTTGGATTCTCTGCACCGAGCTGTGTGCTCATGAAGAGCGACGGCTCCATGGGTTTCCTACATCTACAAGT